TACGCCTCAAGTTCGTGAATCAAAAATTGATTTACTAACCCATGAATATGAGTTATTTTCTATGAAAGAGAACGAACTTGTGGAGGACATGTTTGGAAGATTTTCAAACATCGTCAACGACCTTGATATGCTTGGAAAGACGCTCACCGACAAGGAGTTAGTGAGGAAAATCCTGCGAAGTCTTACCAAGGAATGGGAGTCAAAGGTTAACTCCATTTACGAAGGCCGAGATTACAACGTCATCACATACGACGATCTTCTAGGTAATCTTATCACTTACGAAACAATTCATCTTTCTCATACTCTTGATGTTAAGAAGAGAGCGGGAATTGCTTTTAAAGCATCTTCTTCTCAAAAAGTAGAGATTGATGATTCGGATTCGAATAGTGATAGTGATAGTAGCACTTCTTGTGATATTTTGGTTAAATGTTTTAACGAGTTTATGAAACATGACCTTAATAAGAGCAAGAGGAAAAACACCCCAAGGTGTCATACGTGCGGAAAGCTTGGCCACCGTAAACTTGAGTGCCCGAAGCTCAAGAAAATGAGCAAACAAAATGAATTTGCGTATTTTTCGTGGAGTTATGATCAACCATCCAAAGACGATTCCCTCATCGGCGTTGAAGAACAAGATGGGTGGTCGGGCACGTGAAGCACTTGAAAGGCATGCTTGAAGACTACAAAGTTTGTAGTGGATGCTCCAAGCACTTAGCCCAAAGTTCGTGTACATCGTTTGACACACAAAATATTTTTGGGACTCAATTTCTACACCAAAATTCTTTATTTAATTCAAATTTTGAATTAGAATTAATTCTTTTCAAACCATTTGATTTGTTTGTTTTTGGGAGCCTTATCACATTCAAATTCTTGTCCAAAACAAGTCATTAAGCTCCAAAATAATCTCTCAACTCGCACACATGTTTTGGGTCCTCATGTTTGGGGTTTGTTCGCTACTGGATCGATCCTTTTGTGTGGATCGATCGTCGTGTGAGAACCCAGGGGGATTGGATCGATCTCCACATTAGATCGATCACATATTTTGGGACTTTTTCTTCGGAGGATCGATCAATCTGTTTGGATCGATCCCCCGTCACTTATTTCTTTCGTTTCCCAAATTTTTTAACTCCTTTGGATCGATCCTTTGCCTTGGATCGATCCCCCGTGCTTTTGACACAAATTTATTATCGGAAGTTTACTCCAGGTGATCGATCTTTTGTCGTGCATCGATCCCCAACGCTCCATTCTGTCAAAATCAGCCTTCCCTACTCCCAACGGATTTATTTCTTTTTACTCTATATAAACTCTCTTCCTTGGTCTTTTTTAAGAACAAGAAACATTCCAATACTC